GTCATTGTTGTTTGGTGGGTCCGGGCTGGGGATTTGAACCCGCCACCTTAGGTGTACGTGGCTGGCGCCTTAGCCGGTTGAGCTATAGGTGCCGAGCCGGTAGTTTCTTAATTAGTAACTGAGCATATATCTTTCTTAGGGACCAAAATCCACTATCCCAGAAATTCTATTATTATCTGAGGAACTAAATAAGAAGGAAATTTCTGCCATTAGCTAATCTGGTCATAGTTTACAAATTATTACTATTCACAGTCATTCAGTCATCCATATACTCTCCTTCTAGACCAACAATAGCGTATTTAATAGATTTTAGCTTTTATTATTATTATCATTTTATCCAGTTATGTCTTCTAGAGGATACCTATTACAGAATTTATCTTGGTCTCTTTGGTGAAGGCTTATGAAAACATTCCAGTCATGTCAGCAACATCTTTCTGAAACAAGTCTTGCTATAGTTTTATTTTCAGTGCATAGAAAAGTGAATGAAATTTATGTTGATTTTTATTAGTTTCAATATCAAAAGATAATGTTTTTCCCAAATTTATTTGTGGCCTATAACTTCCTGTGTGTACTGTAACTACAATTATGGTTATATTTTAGACAACATAGGACTAAATGATTAATGAATAAAAGATCAGAGGATAATCACAGTGCTTTGTAATATTCAAGGAAGGATTTGTGGAAAGGATGAGATTTGAACTAGACTAACTGCTATTTTATGGAGCACATAATTAATTTAAAATAATTAACTTGAATTGATACAGCAATAACTACTGTGGATGAAACAGTGATAGCCTTGTGGGTAAAGGATTTAAATTAAGCATCTTCATAAATGACTTTCACTATTTCTTTTTTTAGAGATGGAGTCTCACTTTATCATCCTCAGTAGAGTGCTGTGGCTTCACACAGCTCACAGCAACCTCCAACTCTTGGGCTTAGGCGATTCTTTTGCCTCAGCCTCCCGAGTAGCTGGGACTACAGGCACCTGCCGGGACGCCCGGCTATTTTTTTGTTGTAGTTTGGCTGGGGCCAGGTTTGAACCTACCACCCTCGGTATATGGGGCCAGCGCCGTACCCACTGAGCCACAGGCGCCACCCGACTTTCACCATATTTAATCAGGTCTAAGGTTAAAAAAAAAAAAAAGAATCTACTCCTTACAATCTTTCTTTTTAAAAAATAGTGATTTGGGCTGAGCGAGGTTGCTCCTGTTTGTAATACTAGCACTCTGGGAGGCTGAGGTGGTGGATTGCTTGAGCTTCAGGAGTTTGAAACCAGCCTGAGCAAGAGTGAAATCCCCTCTCTACTAAAAATAGGTTAAAAAAGAAAAAAGAGAGAAAGAAAGAAAACTAGCATTGTGAGGGTGCCTGTAGTCCCAGCTACTTGTGAGGCTGAGGCAAGAAGATTGCTTGAGCCTGAGACTTTGAGGTTGCTATTAACTATGATGACACCATGGCACTCTACCCAGAGCAACCTAGTGAGACTCTGTGTCAAAAACAAAAGTGATTTTATTATTCTTTTAGAGAAGTTTTTATTTTCATATTTATTGCCCAATCATAGTTTCAAAGAGATGGTTTCTTATTTCTACTGTAATGAATTTTAAAATATACTGATAGTTTTTTTTTTCAGCCATATAGATTATAAGAATACAAATGAATTTCAAGGAAGGAGAAGTCTCATTTAATAAAAACATGGAGAACAGATAAAAGCAAAACCTATTATTCCATTGAGATTCTAACTGAAGAAAAATTGTAGGCAGTAATTTGCAGATTTTTTTAAAGTGATCTGGCAGGATCCCAAATGTAGAATGTGGGTCATAGGCAACTATCAGCAGTCTCCCGTGGGTGACATTGGACAACCAGAGGAGAGAGACTACCTGGCTAGGAAGTCAAGTTTCTAACTTCTTGTTACCACAGATCTGATAGTTGTATAAAATGGCTAGCCCTTTTCCTTTTGACCTTGTTTTTGCATTTTTAGAAAAGAAAGGTCTTAAATTGTCAGCATTTAACAACTGAGTATTTCAAACCATTTTGCTGTTATTGTGGCTAGCTTCATATTAAACAAATTAAAGTTAAATCTTTTATATCATGAGATTGCCTTAAGATTGCTAATAAGTTTTTTATATTTTATTTATGAATTTAGAAATTAAGTTGTCTTTTAAATTAGTTGGTTCTCTATTCTGATTGTAGGATTTCAAAAATAAGAAAATTTTGCATTGCTAACCTTAAAGCACTGAAATGTTTAAAGCAGTGGTTCTCAACCTGTGGGTCGCAACTGTATTAAAGGTTCGTGGCATTAAGAAAGTTGAGAACCACTGGCTTAAAGGTGAGAAAGTCAGGTAGCACCTGTGGCTCAGTGAGTAGGGTGCCGGCCCCATATACCAAGGATGTATATGTACTTTTATGAGTTTTTCAGGTTCATCACGATAAACAGAATTAACTTAAAAGGAAATATTTTTGTAAATATTCTGAGAATACTAGGATTTTCACAGTTCTTAATGATCTACCATTTTTATTATATTTTATGAATTTATTTTATACATACTGCTTTCCCCAATGCATACGATACACACACATTATACACACTTTCCTTTTTTCTCTTTTTGTACAGTTGGATTTCTTAAAGGCACCATTCCTACATCCTGATTAAATAACATAATTGCCATTTGAAGCATCACTTGTCTTGTAGCCTCAACAGGATGATCGAGATCTACTTAAGGATATTATTAGATGTTCATTACATGTATCCATATGCCATGTTCAGGCTGTCACAGCATCTTTTTACCTACTCAATGCAGTTACCTTTCATGATTGTTCAACAAGCACCTTTGATTGCCTACTACATGCTAAACACAAGTTGAAGATAAATTATAAGCCAGTATTCCTGCCATCACAATAATTTACAACCAAAAAATAGTATCTTCAGTATAATATTAGCTTTCCTGTCTTAAAGGGAGAAAAGAGGGAAAAGGAAGTACAGGGCTAAAAAATGACATTTTAAAAGAAGAAATTGATGGAAAAATGAGGTGGTGGTTTATTTCATGGTTATACAAGTATAACTTTCTTTTTTTTTTGAGACAGAGTCTTACTCTGTTGCCCTTGGGTAGAGTGCTGTGACATTATAGCTCACAGCAGCCTCAAACTCTTGGGCTCAAGAGATGATCTTGCCTCAACCTCGTGAGTATCTGGAACTACAGGTGCTTGCCACAATGTCCAGCTAGTTTTTCTATTTCTAATAGAAACTGGATCTCACTCTTGCTCAGGCTGATCTCAAACTCCTAAATTCAATTAATCCATCTTCCTTGGCCTCCCAGAGTGCTAGGATTATAGGAGTGAGCCACCACACCTGTCTTCAAGTATATCTTTATATGTCTTGACATAAGGAATTAAAACGTTTGTTCTATAAGGACACGAAAAGCAGTCACAGAAGATACTCAAATAGCAAATGAACACATTCAACCCCAGATGAAAAATATAGTATATATTCTTCATAATTAGAGTTTTGAAAACTGAAAAATTTTTCTTAATAGTAGTAGAATCATAGAATAGATTGTATGTGTATAATGAAATTTGGGTTCACAAAGATTATCTTAGAATAAAAGTGACTCGAAAAGTATAAAGAGGTAACGTTAAATGAGAAAAGCAAAAATTAAAATTGTCATATAGTATGATCCCAAGTATATTTTTAAAGTATAATGGCGGATTCAATGGGCTATACTGCTTCTCCTTAACTGTTGAGGATATAAATTGGCACTAACCTTAAAATGAATTAATGTATTTGAATCTAGTGAGTCCTGATACTAAGAACAAAAATGTTGGTCAATACTGAAACCTCTTTAAAAGTTTCCCATAATATGTTTCATGTGTTGACTCTGTTGAAACTTGAGAATTTGATAATCCTGGGTTAATGCTTTTTTTTTTTTTTTTTTTTTTTTGAGAGATAGAGTCTCACTTTGTCACCCTCGGTAGAGTGCCATGTCATCATAGCTCACAGCAACCTTCAGCTCTTGGGCTTAGGCAATTCTCTTGCCTCAGCCTCCCAAGTAGCTGGGACTACAGGCGCCTGAAACAACACCAGGCTAATTTTTGTTGCAGTTTGGCCGGGTCGTGTTTGAAACCATCACCCTTGGTATATAGAGCCGGCCCCTACTCACTGAGGAGCCACAGGTTCTGCCCACTTTTTTTTTTTTTTTTAATCTGAGTGGGCATTGAGGGTTTTTTTCCTCCTCTCTAGAAAGAGGAATTATCTGTCTTAAGTACCTACTAAAAAGCTGTAGGGGAAAGGTCTGTTAGTTGGAACACCTCATACTGGTTAGGACAGAAAAGCAAAGAATAACTTTGTTTATATGTGAACTACCCATAAAAAGGCCAAGTTCTATGGTATTAAAGGCTATGTGTTACATATACATTTTTTGTGTAGTTTTACCAACATTGAATGAATTTGTAAGTATTATCTCAAATATAATTTCCCCATTTATTAGAATGTGCATTCTCACATTTACAATACAGTAGTATTTAAAGTTTAAAAAACCTAAAATATGAAATTTAAATATTATTGAGAACCTCCCTGCTTTTAGGTGTTAATTGTTAACATTTTAGGGAAAGTAAGGATATCAGAACATGGTGGAAGAGACCAAAAAAGCTGATGCAAGTAACTTTTAGATGTTTTACTTAGAAAATAGTTAACTAAAATGTCTGAATTTGCCCAGGTAAAATCTTTATTACTTGCCAGTGATGCAGGTTAAAAAACAATCTTTTTTTTTTTTTTTTTTTTGAGTCACAACCTCAAGCTGTCACCCTGGATAGAGTGCCATGGCATCACAGCTCACAGCAATGTCCAACTCCTGGGCTCAAGCGATTCTCCTGCCTCCACCTCCCAAGTAGCTGGGACTACAGGACTACAGGCGCCCACCACAACGCCTTGCTATTTTGTTATTGTTGTTGCAGCTGTCTTTGTTGTTTGGTGGGCCTGGGGTGGATTTGAATCTACCAGCTCAAGTGTATGTGGCTGACGCTTTAGCCCCTTGAGCCACAGGTGCCAAGTCTAGAAAACAACCTTTATTGAGGCTAGGCACAGTGGCTCATGCCTGTAATCCCAGCACTTGGAAAGCTGAGGTGGTTAGATTGTCTGAGCTCACAGGTTCAAGACCAGCCTGAGCGAGAGCAAGACCTCATTTCTAAAAATAGCCAGGCATTGTGGCAGTCACCTGTAGTCCCAGCTAGCTGGGAGGCTGAGGCAAGAGAATTGCTTGAGCCCAAGAGTTTTTTGTTTTTGTTTTTGTTTTTGTGATAGAAGCCTCAAGCTGTCCCCCTGGGTAGAGTGCTGTGACATCAAAGCTCACAGCAACCTTCAACTCCTGGGCTCAAGCAAGTCTCCTGCCTCAGCCTCTCAAGTAGCTGGGACCACAGGCACCTGCCACAACGCCCAGCTATTTTTTTTGATTGCAGCCAAGGCTATTTTATTTTGGTTGCAGCCATCGTTGTTTGGCAGGCCCGGGCTAGATTGGAACCCACCACCTGAGCCCAAGAATTTAAGGTTGCTAAGAGCTATGACAACATGGCACTCTACCAAGGGTGACAAAATGAGACTCTATCTCAAAAAAAAAGAAAAAAATCTTTATTAGGTAATGCATTTGTGGTTATTTTTTCCACAAAATACTGCTTCTCGCCTACTATCAGAATAATCCGCAATCAAATCATTTTTCTGTTAGTTATGTTAATAACGTATTTTCTTTTCCTAAGATACATAAAGATATTCAAGGGCAATTTATCTCATTTTAGTAGTTCCAACAAAATAATGCAACAAAATGAATTAGCAGTAGATACTCAGTACTGTCTTTTGGTTAATTTTGTCTTTATTAGTAAATTTTATGTACTTTTAAGTCTGATTGCTTCTGATTTTAGGATTCTTACATTGGAACAGCTTTTGGACAGTATAAAGCGCACAAAAGGAGCTCGTCAGCAAGTAGTTCAGTTACATGTTGTTTCTTCAGTTTCTAGTTTCCTGAAGGTAATTCTTTTTTTAAAAAATTTGAAATTTTTGCTTAGTTTTTTTTGGTAATGACTAGAATGCAAAACTAAAACCACAGCTTCTGTAAGAACCACTTGTTCTTGCCCATCTTGTACCTCTTTTCATACTTTACTTTGGCCTATCATCAGGCCTTGTGTTTAAGTGCAGGGTCTCTTAAGACATCCTTGTTGAGGACAGTTTTGTCCAAGGACCGTTCCACAGAATGTCTTGTGGTCATGGGGTGATTATAGTCATAAACTTTCACAAAACACTTGATCTTTGACCACTTCAGCCGTCTTCTTGCCCATGGTAGCTGTCACTTTGCATAGATAGTGATTAATTCCCGCCACCACAGCCTGGCTGTAAGGGTGGTCTCAGGTGCTGTCAAACTTTTTATGACGCAGTAGCATCCATCCAGCACCAGCACCACTTTCCCAGATTTCATGAACATGCCCATTTTGACAGCAATCACCTGGGCCTATACCAGAAAGTGAGAGTGATATTCTTAAAGGATTGGGTTTTTTTCACTTTTTTTAATGTCCTGATAAAAATGTTTCATGACTTAGAATTTTCATCTTACATTTTCTCCACTTAAAGCTTGTTAGTTAGAAATGAAATTTACAGTGTTGGCTGAGAGCCCATGCATTAACCTGCTAAATCTGATATTCCAGATCAGGGAATTGATAGCCTATGGCCTGTGTACCAAATCTAGCTAGCTCATTGTTACATTTATGACTTATTGTTTCTAAGTATGGTAAAATATAATAGGTTTCATTGTACGAATATCTCTATAAATGTTCTGAACACATTTATACCTCAATGATAATTGATTGTTTCCTGGAGATTTAAGATTCTAGAGTGCTTTGTGGAAAAAAATAAAATTATGTTTGTATGATCAACATGGATTTTTGTATTCTGGCCTTTTGAAGTTGTAATTTAAGTATGAACACATTTGGTTAACCAGAATTTGCATTCCAAACTGGATAAAAGAATTTACTGCGATTGTAAGTTTGAGTTGTTCTTTACATATTTCAGTATGTGGCTGGCTCCAAGGGAAGTTTAGGTACAGAGGAAATGAGAAGACTTGCTCTAACATTAGTTATGGGAGGCCTAGAAAGTTCCAACCCCCTGTTGAGATGTGCAGCTGCAGAGGCATGGGCCAGATTAGCCCAAGTGGTTGATGATGGAACTTTTACAGCCGGATTAGCTCAAATTAGCTTTGACAAGTAAGTAAAGTTTTTATTCATATACTCATGGACTGTGTGTCAAAACTGACTATAGCTTGCTGGTTTATTAGCACTAGTAAGAACTTTATTCTGAAATATAACTAAGAAAAAAAATTGGTAAGTATTGGTGCTTCAGAATAAAGAACCCCTCTGTCTTGTTACAATATAAAACTATCACTATTTCAGCTTTAATCTTTGTATAATAAGAGAAAGATCACTATAACATGTGTGATATAATTCACCATTGATACGACAGACTCGGCTCAGTGCCTGTAGTACAGTGGTTATGGCGCCAGCCATATACACCGAGACTGGCGGGTTCAAACTTGGCCTACGCCAGCTAAACAACTTCAACAAAAAAGTAGCTGGACTTTGTGGCAGGCACCTGTAGTCCCAGCTATTTGGGAGGCTTAGGCAAGAGAGTCACTTAAGCCCAAGAGTTGGAGGTTGCTCTGAGCTGTGACACCAAGGCACTCTACTGAGGACAACATAATGAGACTCTGTTTCAAAAAAAAAAAAAATACAACAGACTCTAGGAAAATGAGTCATTTAACAGAGTTTTCTTTTTCTTTCCTCCCCCAGAGTCTCAGTGTTTTGCCCTTGGTAGAGTGCTATAGCATCACAGCTCACAGCAACCTTAAATTCTTGGGCTTAAGCAATCCTCTTGCCTCAGCCTCCCAAGAAGCCAGGACCATAGGCACCCGCCACAATGCCCAGCTACTTTTTTGTTGTTATTGTTGTAATTGTCATTGTTGTTTAGCAGGCCTGGGCTGGGTTTAAACCTGCCAGCCTCCGTGTTTGTGGCTGGCACCCTAACCACTGAGTTATGGGTGGCAAGCCAACAGAGTTTTCTTAACTTGTTTTATACACACACACATGATAGGTAGTATGAACAATCTACAGAAAAACGCTTTGGTGGTGGCACCCATAGCTCAGTGGGTAGGGCACCAGCCACATACACTGAGGCTGGCAGGTTTGAACCTGGCACAAGCCTGCCAAAACAATAATGACAACTACAGCAGAAAAATAACCAGCCATTGTGGAGGGCACCTGTAGTCCCAGCTACTTGGGAAGCTGAAGCAAGAGAGAATGGCTTAAGCCCAAGAGCTTGAGGTTGCTGTGAGCTTTGATGCCATGGCACTCTACCAAGGGCTACATAGTGTGACTCTGTCTCAAAAAAAAATGATTATTTCATTGTCTTTTGGATACACACATACACACATAGCACATACACAAAAGTTTATTAAGACAGGTATTATTACTACCTTATCATTAAGTTACATTTTAAACTTACATGAGAATCAGTTTAAACTCACTGAGTGATGGGCGCCGCCATGTGAAGACATTTTTACTTAAAATGTTTTTCTTTATAAGATACCTTTTGGGCTTGGTGCCTATAGCTCAACCGGCTAAGGCGCCAGCCATGTACACCTAAGGTGGCGGGTTCAAATCCCCAGCCCGGGCCCGCCAAACAACAGTGATGGCTGCAACCAAAAAATAGCCGGGCGTTGCGGCGGGCGCCTGTGGTCCCAGCTACTTGGGAG